CATTTGCTTTTTGTATGGATATTTTGTTCCAAAATCTGAAGTAAATCATGTTAAATCTGTTCTGTGCTTTTAAACTGATTCCGCATGTTGATGGTTTAACTTTTGTAGTTTCAATGCGATAAGTGTATTTATAGCTTGAAGAATTTGTTGCAGCTGGATGCTCTTAGAATGGCTTTGGAGGCAAAGAAAACACGTGCCAATGTTTATGTTGGAATGCGATATTGGTACCTATTCACTGAGGAGGCAATTGAGTAGGTGGGTCTTTCGATAGTCAAACAAATTTGCCTGGGTTTTAAGTTTCTTCAGAGACCATTGGTGAAGTTATTAACTTGTGAGATACCATATGGAGGAGTGAGCTCTTGCTGTTTTGGTTTAGGTGACATTGAGAGTTTGTTGTTAAGTAGATCAAATCCCTACAGAAGGAATATATATATGGAGTGAAGAGAAAAAGAAAGAATTGCAATGCCTTTTTGCAAGTTCTTGTTTTATATGATTATACCTTCAAATCCTTGAAATTATACCTCATATTTTAATATGGAATTATCTGTTTAACCCTGAATAATCTATCTTCAATGTGCATTGAGTCTATATTGCTAAGTTATTTATTTTATGCAACAGATTAAGCAGGACAGGATAACAAAGCTTGTTGTGCTGCCAGTACATCCTCAGTTCTCCATCTCAACGACTGGATCAAGCATCCGAGTTCTCCAGCGCATATTCAGGTAGGTGTTTGATCATTTTTGTTACACCTTTTCTGCTTGAAATCATCCATTACTGTTCTCCCTTGTAAATGGCTCTGAATGTGAGTTATTTTTCAGGGAAGATGCGTATTTATCGAGACTACCTGATTCTCTCATTCTTTCATGGTATCAACGACAAGGTTATATTAGGTCTATGACCGGCATGATTGAGAAAGAGTTGGGCAGATTTTCAAAACCTGAAGAGGTTTGTTTTTTTACTTCATAGACTACTTCTGTATTCTTTTTTTTATGCATAAAGTCATTAATTAGAATTTGATGTCAAATTGTGGTCAGTCTTTGAGATTTATTTTATTGCAACTATTTCTAATATTCTTTTGAACTTCAGGTTATGATATTCTTTAGTGCCCATGGGGTTCCTGTCAGTTACGTTGAGGATGCTGGAGATCCATACAAAGATCAAATGGAGGAGTGCATCTACTTAATTTTGCAATAGCTGAAAGCTAGAGTAATGGGAAATGATAATACCCTTGCTTACCAGGTTGGTTTTAGAACTCAAGTTCCTTCTTTCACTTGAAAAATGAAAAAATGTTATGCGTAACTTCTTCTTCATGCTATACTAGAGTCTGAGTTGGGCTTGTGCAATGGCTGAAGCCCTGCACAGCTGCACTGATGAAGTCCTTCTTGAGCTTGGCCAGAAAGGTGTGAAGAGTCTTCTAGCAGTTCCCATAAGGTACATGATTCATGGTTTAAAGTAGCTGTTCTTGATATGTGCTTTGAAATGGTCGATTATGTAGTGAAAATTAATTTTACTGCCATCTCAAATTCCAGCTTTGTGATTGAGCACATAGACTCTTGAAGAGATTGACATGGAATATAAGCACTTAGCTCTTGAATCTGGTATCAAGAATTGGGGTCGTGTGCCTGCTCTAGGTTGCACCTCTTCGTTTATCACAGATCTAGCTGCTGCTGTAATTGAAGCTCTACCATCAGCAAAAGCTCTTTCAACCCCGAGGGACACTGCTGAAGAAGCCGAATATGACCGCTTGAGATACCTTGTCAAAATGTTCTGCGGTTCAATCTTGGCATTCATTTTGTTATCGACACCAAGGAAGGTACTTTCATTTAGGAATCATCTCTTTTAATCAAGATTTAAGAAAGCTTTTGTTCATAGACAGTGTAGAGTCTCAATTATATTAAGGAGTTATCCTCTGTTTAGAGAGAAATATAGGGACTTGTTTGGTCCCCCCCCCCCCCCCGGGGAGGTTGGTAATTTGGCATAAACAAAGTAGAGATGGAATTTTGAAGGTGTAATTTTTGGAACCAAGAAGATTTACCTGGGCAATTTGGCTTCAATGTAACCATGACGAGTTGCTACCAGTGAAATAATATTTCTTTTATGTTTTTTGCTCAAAATAATAACATTAAATCCGAAATTTTGTTTAGGCTTAGGGCTCAGTGGATTGACTTCGAAAGATGTTTCAGTGACATTTTTTTTTTTTTCTCATTCTTTTCCATAAGTAGTCCTTTAAATCCTCCTCAAACTCAAGATAAAATCTCAGCACAACCTCACCAATGTTGAATCACCTATAAATTCAAAATCATCACCACTGATATGATAAATCATTTAGATTTAAACATAATTAAAAAAAATCAACGTGATACAAAGAAGTTAGCCACCATCCAGATCTTTCCAATAGTTTGGGTTTTAAAACACATGATATTAATCATGCACGAAAAACTTAGAAAAATTTAAAGGGACACTAAGCCAAAATATCGACTAATTTCCGTGTGAATCTGTTCATGCCTGGTCACACGTATCTCTCTCTTCCTTCAATCTCATACAGCTTTTCAAGAGAATCATTGTAACAAAACAAAAACATCAAGAAAAAAATATGGTGAAAGCTTGATCAGTTCAACTTAGGAGAAGCTGTTCTTGTTGACTCAATTAGACAATCTCTCCAGCACAATATCAAGCAAAACATTCTAATCAAACCAAAATAGAGTAGCAATGTCTGTGTTCTGTTCTTTCACATATGCTTTGCTTAACCAATCTCCTTCCGGAACGCCTCATAACGACCAGGACATATCATTAAAAACTATTAACCCAGTGGGAGGGTAGAAAATTTCGATTGACTTGGATTACAAGCACAGAAAATCACAATCAAACAACTCTTATTTCTAGATTTCCAGTAAATAAAAAACAAGGGAAAACTGTTGGTAAACGAAGTAACAAATTCAATGGATCAGCATGAAGGTTTGATCAACGCAGGAGAGCATTAGAGCAGCTGATAGATGTTCAAGGCAAAAGGGAAAAACGAATAATATGTGATGTTGGGAGAAGTCTAGGCTGGCGTTTAATACTAAAACGCAGCCCACGCCTTTTATTTCAACCCGCAGCCATGCTTAAAGCAATAGCATTGATTGTTGTAGGAGAGGTTGCGAAAGTTACAATGCAATGACTTGAAACAAGAACAGGGGCCATCTCCCTTTCCCTTTTAAACCTTGATACCATCATCAACTCCCAGCATAAGCTTCCTACTCAGACCTTTTACTTTTCAGCCATCATTTCCATGTCAATCCACATAACACAAATATTTAACATTAAAAAGAATCACCCAAAGCGCCGCCATCGAAGAATCTAAGAATAAACCGAAAACCTAGCTTTCTAAAAAAAATTTTAAATCTTGATAAAGAGTCAACAATATTTTACGATTAGTAATAAAGTTTGGAAGATAAACAAGGAAAAAAAAGAAACAGAAATAAAAAAAAAAAAAAAAGCAGCATTCCGATCTGTGTGAACGGAGTCAGAATTACCAATATATGTTTTTGTGGATCTGAGAAGACATGTAACAGAAGGAGAAATAGGGTTTTGTAACATTCCTGGTGATTTTTGGTTATGTTCAGCTGCGGTGAGTCCTCTCCACTATCCTACAGTGATGCTCATGATATTGCCATGTGTCAGAGTCCTATCCCCTACCTGGTGATTTTTGTTTTTTTTTAAGTTTAAATATGCATGATACAAAGGAAATAGCTTGAATATAGTTTTTATTCATGTTTTTTTTGGAATTCGCATTATTGTCATTTTTGCTAGCACTATTAGTAATTTTTAAACATTAAAGTAAATATTATTTTATTATAATGTCTAGTACATAAAATTATAATAGGATAAGATAAAATGATATTATAAATAAGATTAAGTTAAATAATATCATCTTGTCTTATATTTGGTGCGTACAAAGATTAAAATAAAATAATTTATTTATTGATCAAAATTATCATTTTTAAAAGTTTATATAATTTAAATTATTAATATAATTTTTTAAAATATAATAAGACATAATTTAATCTCATAAATTAAAAATAATACTCTTCACTTTAAAAGAATTGAATTATCTTATACTAAAATAATAATAATTTTTTTTGTTATCATATCTCTTTCAATTAAATATAAATTAAAATAATATAAAATAATTATCATATTATTATATTTATTATTTTATATATCAAATATGACTTTTATCTCGTAAACAGTATCTTATTTGCATATCTTTATTTATGTTAAATAAAAAAAAATTATTTTTAATTTTTCTTATTACCTCTTAATTATATTTATCTGTTTCTTTTCCTTTTTTTCAAAGTAAAACGCAGTTCAAAAAATTTAACATTAATAAAAATCAAAATTCAATTTTTTTAAAACTTTTTGCAAAATCAAACTAAAGCACTATATATGAAATGGAGGGAATATAATTTTAGAATTGCGATTTTATTTTAACTTACTATCATCGCTCTTTCCTCCTGCGACAATTGATTCAGCTTGATTTATAAAAAATAAAATAAAATAAAAAAAGATTAACGTGCAGCATTTTAATTTTTCAAAAATTGAATCACATTACTTTTTTAATCAAGCTAAACCGAACGAAATTACGAATACCACTAATTCAAATTAATTTCGTTATTAATTTTGAAATTACTTCAGACATTTTAAAGATTTTTATAGTTTTTTAATATTTTTATAAATTATTTACATATATTTTGATTAGAAAGAAGGGATTTTTGACCCAGTTGGCTATGGCTTGGTCCCCGTTAACTTAAAATCCAATCCAGCCTTCAACGACAGCACTTGCAACCTCTAAGGAGGTAAACCAGGATATAAATAATACAGAGTATGGCTTGTGTAAAATGACCAACTTCACTGGGTTTAGACATTCCTCGAGAATATCAAATATAAACTTAACTAAACCAGATGAAAATATCTGTAGAAAATCAAGTGCTTAAGAGCAAGCAAGTATAGTCCTTACAGCAGAAGTAATAAAGCAAGACAAACCATCCAAAACCATTTGCAGCATCAAGATGTTAAAGTAAAACACTAGCATTGTCTTAAAAACACTGCAAAAACTAACTTCACCTGACTGGAATACAACAAACCATCAAGCACCAAAATCTAAATTGTCTTCATTAAACTGACCCCAAATCAACTTTGAGGCGATGCCTTGGTAACTCCACCTTGTTGAACAGTTTGAGAAGCTGGTGCTGCAGCATCATAAGTCCCACGAGTGCTCCCACCTGCATTGCTGTCAGTAGGACATGCTGCAGGCTGTGAGTAACCACCACCATAAGAGGTGTTATAAGGTGCCCCATAACCAGGCTGGCTGGCAGGTGGCGCTCCATAGGGTGGGGCACCGTACCCTGGCTGAGCAGATGTGGCACCATAACTAGATGATTGAGAACGTTGTGAACCAGATTCCGGTTGACCATAACCAGCCGGTGGTGGCTGTGAATGATATCCTGGCTGGCCATAGCTTCCTGGGGTGCTAGGCGACTGCTGTGTCTGCCCATAGACGGGGGGATTGGCCAAAGGCTTCTGGGTTGGTGGTGGTCCATACCCAGGTCCATAGCCAGACTGAGCTGGTGGTTGACTCCCATAGCCAGTTTGGGAAGTTGGAGGCATTCCATAACCAGGTTGAGCACTTCCTTGAGGTGGATAACTTCCAGGATTTGGGCTAGGCTGCTGACTAGTACTGTACCCTTGCTGGCCCATCGCAGATGGTTGGGTGGATGTAGGTGCTTGACCAGAATCCCCTTGACCACCATAGGAGGGTGTGTGACCCTCTTGAGTAGGGTTTGTTGCATTGCCATAGCTAGGCACAGAACCGTAACCTTGTTGCTGATCATAAGATGGCTGTCCATAACCCGAATGTGGAGGAGCATGGTATCCACTATAGCCATCATGAGGATAACCTTGTCCTGGTTGCATATAGCTAGAAGCTGGAGGTTGACTGTAATTATAACCACTGCTATCAGCAGGAGTTGCTGAACCACCAGGGGTTTGCTGCGGCTGTGAAGAAGGCTGCTGGTTATAGTAATCGTAACCACTTGCAGCAGAGCTTTGCTGGTTTGGTGGTACAGCTGACTGGTCCCAACCAGAGGCATATCCACCAGATGATGGTTGAGATGGATAGCCCCCATAAGGTGGCTGAGACATGTTATACTGCGGTGATGGGCCAGGATATGCCCCAGGCTGCATATAGCCATAACCAGGTTGCTGCATTGGAGGAGCCCCTTGGCCCCAGCTTGTAGGAGGTCTTGCCTGATAACCTTGCTGTGGGTAGCCTCCAGCCATTGCTGGATTTCTCATACGGTTCTGCACAAAATTGTTTCCTCAGATAACCAAAGTGGACTCTTCAACAATGCTGGCACATAAACACATAAAGCAAAACAGAATATGCATCTATATACAGATAGGCATATACAAAAAACCTAAATAGCAAGTATCAAAATCAGCATAAAACTGCAAATTAAGCAAACTATGTCCACAGTGGATTTAATGGAGTTTATATTATAGTATGAAGGGTATAAATGCCTACATACCGTATGATTGGAGGGATTATTGAGTTTACTCCAGCAGAAGCCCATCCTCTCCCTATTCGAAGTGAATGGGTGCAAAAAAGAAAAAAAAAAAAAAGGAACCCCACAACACTAATAGAAGCTTTTACATCAAAGCAAAAGGAACTACGAACCCCATATGCCATATACAGGCAAGAAACTCACAGTTAAAAGTACACACTATATATTATCTATCCAACATTGATGCATTGTAACAACAGAAGCATCAAATAAGGAATGACAACATCCTAGAAAGACCAATCAACATGCATTAAGCAAATGATATCTCTTAGAACAGACTAAAATTCTCTAGACAAAAGCAAGGAAAAAAACATTATAGATCAAACACTTTTAAGATGACTATATGCATTAGATAAGATAATTGACATGTATCACCAAAATAAAGGTTTTTGCTAAACATATGAACCCTAGCCATATAGGTTATAATGCCAACAATAAATACTACAGCACAACTAACATAATTGTAGACCAGTTCTCTAGAATAATGCAACGAAATTACAACTTTTAATAAAGATAACTTTCAACACAAGCATCAAAAAGAAAAAAATTTCATCAAATATGTCACCTCCAACTTGAGGTTTTCTGAAAAAAACAGAATCCAACTCAAGTAATGAACAAGGTGAATTCCAAAGTGAATAAATTCTGTTGGGTTAAATGTTGAAAAAGATAACACCTAGCAACATGTTACCAAAAAAGATGACATCTAGAAATACGGGGAAGTTGCAATACTAACACAGTTGAAAACCATCTTTAAGCAACTAGAGGATACAAGGCTGGAAACAAGATATTTCAGGGTAAAATATCCACAAATATAGAGTTATGTACATTATCAACCCCAACCAACACTATTAAATGATGATGACAAAGAAATCAGGGACAATCCAAATAAGTAAATTAGGATTAAAACGGTTTAAAGTTTCAAACCATAAGCCAAATTAAGAACCAAAAGCTATATCATTCTTGTTTACTGTTGAACAAAAGAGAAGATTAACAGAAATAGGAATATTGTTGTAATATATGTTAAAATGAACTTGCCCTGAAGTGCCATAATAATAAACAAGTCTAGTATTTAGCAACCTTATATACCCATCAATAACTTCAAGCATCTCTCCAGTATAAGATTACTAAATATCAGAAATAGGATCTGAAGCCATACCAGGGCAATGCAGAGGAAACACCAACAGAAAGAAATCAATGTTGGTGTCACCAATTGTCCAATACAGACTAATCCTACAATAGTTCCCAATGACAATATTAGTCTCATCATTTACAATTAATAAGCAAATTTGGTGGCTAATCATGTCATAATCCCAACGAGTCACTTAGCCATAAAATCAAAGAATGATGAAAATATTGGAGTTTTATCACCAGAATAAAGGAAGTCCTTGTTTATACCATGATATCCTAACATAAAATGTGTGACCTGCCTTGCAAACTAAGCATGAAAACATCAACACAAAACTTAAGCAAAACTAAAGGACAATAACCATCACTCTTCTCAAAACTTTGGCAATTCAAAAACTATTAAGTTCGACCTCTATCTGAATCCTAACAACATGTAAGAAACCAACTGTACATAAGGACCTTGAAAGTTTGAACTTTACATTTAAAATTTAAACCCAACCATAAGATTTCAAGAACGAAACCAAGCAATGCAATACTATGTTATCCAGTTCCTAATATCAAGCTAGAACCAGAAAACTTTGATTAAAAACAGCATTGAATCTCTTACAAAGTAGAGGACCTGCTCCTCTTCCACTGGTCATTTTGACACTTATGAAAATTTCTCAACCAGCTGTCATAGCAACAATGATCACCGGCAAAAGATGTCTGCAACTCTCAAGATTTACAAGTCGAACAGAGGGAAGAGAAGATATCGATGATAATATAAAATCCAATCTATATCTCAAAGTGACTGAATAACTACATCAAGAAATGGGGACGCAGAAGCAAGTCTAGAAGAATTATTAAGCATAATATTTGGAAAAGATGTTATAACCTGCATGGGAAAATCATGTACTTCCTCAACAGGTATATAAAAGTATAAGCAAATATCAGAATTTATTAAAATAAAGGGGTGGCTTTCAAAAAATTGACCGGAGGCAATGATTGACAGGCCATAATAACATAATATCTGTTCAGGAAAAAAATAAACACAAAATAGAGTTCCTATTTTACCCAAATGAACAAAAATGGTTGTGCCTTGCAATAAAGAATATAAGGAATATTTGTACAACATCTGAACAAGCAAATTTCTTAAGCAATTTAATAAGAAAGTCTCAATAAAAGTGAAATTACAAAGAGTCCTATCATTACTAATGTGTAAAGACTAGCATGATGCTCCAGAAGATCATAACAAATCAACACTCAAATTAAAATTAAACAGAAAGAACAGTTGTGAATAGAACAAAAGGATCCTTTAGGAGTAGGCATTTAAATAATAAACATAGAAAACAAACACATGCAGTTTATGTAAAAGAACAAGGGCCTAAATAATTTAAACTGAGGAAAAGCTTTCCTCCCAACATCCACATCCAAACATACCTCACTTATGATCTCATCAACCAATTCTCTAGCATTTTTAATCTGTTCACTGGTCCCATCTATGTGTAATGACCTTTCTGTTGATGTATCACCTGGGGGCAAGTGCAATGGTATCACCTGCATGAGATTAACAAGCATATTGCTGTCACAATTTGTATTTGTAGGCACTAGACACAATTACAACATGATTCATAAGAGCATAGTGAAGAAACTTATTAAAAACACATAAAACTGGTAGAAATTAGCTGATTATAATTCAACTAAATAAATGTCAGCAAATATGAAGTTAAAGCAACAATAGACAACTTCCAAGTAACGATGACGCTTAAGATTCAAACCTGAATACGAGCTCCAGTTCTTGCTTGCATATTTTTAATTGTTTCACCACCTTTTCCAATCACCAGACCAACCTGAGATCATGCACTTATTACTTATTATCTTGAAACAAAATCAATGAAAAAGTTGATTAATGCTTTTACACTCGTATACCTTGTTATTCAGAATCTTCATTTCAAAATGTTCACTTCCAGCTTGTCCTGTCAATCTTCGAGAAACTATGCCAGAACCTCCAGATTCAGCCTGGACAAAGCATTAAATGGTATAATTATATTTACTTATATTCGGCATAAGAATACCTCAATTTCACATAAATAAAATTGCAGGATGAATAACCTCAGCAAGAACATCATTTATCAACTGCTCCGCCTTAGCTATTTGTTCAGCAGTACCCATGAGCTCTACAGGCCTAGTCACAGAATTAGGGTCAGCATCCATATCTCGTTGAACCTGAATCTTTGCCCCAGATTGTAGTTGAAGATATTTAATGGTTTCCCCAGCTTTCCCAATTATAACACCAACCCTGATTTGTGGAATGTCAATCTTCTTGCTAGTACCATGATAGCCGCCATAAGAAGCCGGTATAGATGAAGGAGCTGAGTTTGACATAGGCTTTATATCTGTATAAATTCAAGCTTTTGATTACACTTGGCATCAACTTTCACAAATCAGATCTAAACTATTAGCATCTCGCAAACCAGCAGGAAAAGCTAATATATCTTATTAAAAGTTCGAAACCCTAAATGCAAAACCCTAGATGCAACAATTTCCTCAAATAATGAAATTTCTGCTATTCAAGAACGCGTGTCACCAGCAGGAAAGACAAAGAAAGAGAAGCTATACCAGAAGGAGCGGAGCTAAATCCCTTATCGTTATCAAAACCACCGCCAGAGCCGTTTTCAACACGAGGGCGCTTGGCCTCAGAGCCAGCAGAGACAGCGGAGAGAGTAAGGCGAGCAGCAATCTCCTGAGCTCGCTGCTTGGCCATCTCGATGCCGTCAAGCGGTGGCGGCACGCTGTTGTAGGAAGGAGGAGCCGAATCTGGTGAGGAGAACCCTGTCGGCCTCCTGCCACCAGAAGGCGGCGGTGTCTGGTCCTCATATTTGCGCTTGTTGCTGCCGGCGTCGGGACCTGAAGAGTACTGTGATTCGTCTGCCATTGTGTGCGTGCGAGAGAAAGATAGAGAGAGAGAGACGACTAGAGAGAAACCCTAGAGGGATATAGAGAAATGGGGAATATGTAACACAATTAACAAAAGTACGGGTGGATTTTATTTATTTATTTATTTATTTCTTGGAGTTGGATATTTTTAGGAAAATACTATTAGGGGTAATTTGTCTCAAAATTTTCAAATTTGTACTCTTACATTATAATTTTTTTTTTAAATTTACTCTTAATTCTTAATCTTTTATTTACTGAATTTACTTTAAAAAGATATCTTACTAAAAAAAGTATATCATTTATAATAATTATACTATAATTAAATAATAAAATTTTAGAATAATATAAGGTCTACCAAAATAAATAAGACAAAACTTATATAAAATTTATAATATTTATCTATAAAAATTATGTCAATATTTTTATTAAAAATATATCAAAATTTATTAAAATTTTATATACCTGATCTATGTTATAAAACCTTTTAATATCCATTTTTATTTTTTATTTTAATTTTTATTTAATCGTTTTTTGTAAAAAGTTTCATGTACTTCACTTAAAAAATTTTATCTAATTTCTTTTAAATAATATGTAAAGTCCACTCTTATAAGTGATGAACTCTCACATAATTATTGATTATAATTGAATAATTATAATATTACAATAAAAAAATTATAATCAAAATACTACATATTGAAGGGATTTTAGTAGGTAAAAAATCAATTTAGTATTAAATAATTAATATATTCGAATGCGATCTACATAGTTGCCATATACACAATTAGATTAAAATTTTAAAAATTAATAAATAAAATAATATTATAAAAGAGTGAAATCTACTTATACTAATATAATTTTTACATTTTTTTAGATTCATCAATCAAAATTAAATCCATGATTCATTTAAATCAAAATAATATTTTTAAATTCAAAAATTTTGATTCAAAAATTTTTTAAAAAATAAAAAATACACTAATATATGTAGATCTATCATCATTATGAAAGGTAAATATAAATTATTTAAACTTAATTGCACTTAATTCAGTTCTAAAAACTTAATTGCACTTAAAAACCCTCGAAAATTCTTAAAACTTTCCTTTGAAGGAAGGATAGAAAATGAAAGAATGAAAAATTAATTCAACGGTTAAAATTTATAACCACTTTTTTATTTTGTAATTTAAAAATTAGATTAACAAATTTTACTCGCTTACACCTTTCCATCCTCTCTGTCAATAAAAGGATTAGAGCTGGTAAATTCATATTAACAATACAAACACAAACTTGACCATGCGAGTCAAGTCCTACGACCCAAACTTCCATATTAGCATTACCACGGCAATGAAAACCCAAACCAGCCATTAAAACTCCATCCTATAGGCATTGAATTGAAGGTCACCCTTATGTTGACATAGCCCAACAAAACTGCCTTTTTAAAGTTCAAACCATCAAATCAGAGATGGCACAAAATTGAGGAATTCATTCATATCCATTTAAAACAAAACTTAAACATCCTTTTAACGATAGTGCAGGTAGTTAACGGGAAAACTAAAGTCGGCAAAATTTGAAGTTCCGAATAATACAGGGCATACAGTCACCATACATGTAAAACAAACCTGATTTGTAAAACTCAGGATTTTATATTCAAAACCATCTTAACAATCTCCATCTACAGGGCATTTCAACAGAGAAATGATTTATTTGTTCTTAACACTGCAGTCAAAATATCCCAGAAGCAACTTGTAATATCCTTACTTGGTCCACCAATGGAGGAAATCCTTGCGCCTGTTGATCTTTTTCTGCAATTGAAGAACTCCATATAGTAACGCCTCAGCAGTGGGTGGGCAACCAGGAACATAGATGTCAACAGGGACAATTCTATCACAACCTCTAACAACAGAATACGAGTAGTGGTAGTATCCACCACCATTTGCACAACTTCCCATAGAAATGACCCACCTAGGCTCTGGCATTTGGTCATAAACCCTGCAAAAATTACAGTATAACGGTCAGATTACCAAAGCCCAATCAAATTTATACAACTGAAAACTGTGAAAAGAACAGGAAATGGACCGAAAAGGAGTAGACAGAAAATCCCATGTTTCAAACAAAAATACCAGCAAAATCCCTCAAGCCAAGATTAACAAACTTCCAAATAAAGAATCATTATTATACAGTATCAAGAAACAATGAAGGCAACAAAACTCAGGGAATGCTACTAAGATTTGTAAAACTCAGAACAGTGTAAACCGCCAGCAGAGGTAAACCTTAAAGGTTGCATTTGTTTGGCACAACTCAAGAGAAATAAATCAAAATGTCAAACCACCATTAAAACAAAAAACCTTTGCATGTACATCCCACTTGAAATTTACCATCACACACATTAAGCCTCAAGCCCTCACCAGACTCAATCACAAGCCAAATAAACCAAGCTCAGCCTAGGTATGGGAAGTTTTCTACATGTGTAGACACACTATAAACCTGCTAGATAAAAGTTGAACAGAACAAACATCAATGTTTAGTAATATGTTAAGAATTAGGAATCTAATTACTAACAATCAAGCCAGTTAGATCACACAAACTTATCCAGGACCATTCAAGCTAGACCTATGTCGAACTTCAGGTTTTACACGGTTAAAATCCATGGTCGGCGAACCAAGATAAGGCCCTGAAAGATTACAGACAGAAAATGGTGCAATCATAGTTCTTTATCTTCTTAACTCTTTAAGAATTCCCCAAAAATAAGAGGGAAACTGTCAAGTTGAATAGACTAATAGAAAATGGATGTACCAACCACACTGCCTCATACAAAGAAGCATGAAACGGCGTTTTGTTAAGAGTGAAGAAGAAATAACCTCAGGTGGCTTTCAGATCATTCTTATTTTATCTACCAAATTAAAAAAATCCGTATATTTCAGAGAAATCATAATCTTCATTATTTGAAATTTGCTCCCAACTTAAATCAAAGCAAATACTTCTACAACATCATAGGAATTCAGTCATAAAACAAATTATAATTTTAATATGATAAGTAAAAAATAAAAGGATCGTCTAAATATATACTTGAAAGAATCAAAAAGGGTATTAACGAATTCAATTTTGCAATTGTGGCTGTATTTAATTAGCCTAAAACACCAACAACGAGCTAAAATAAATGTAGGAACTGGAAAAAAAATTCACATTTTCATGAGCTCCAAATCTAAAATAAAAAGATGGAAAGAAAAGGATTATAAAATTATTAAATAAAAGACTAAAAAGGAAATTAAACATACTTGCGAAGAGCAGGGGCCATTTTGTTGGTGAGAGTACCAGCGACAATCATGCAATCGGATTGGCGAGGGCTGGGCCTGAAAATGACACCGAAGCGATCGAAATCGTAGCGAGCAGCACCAGTGTGCATCATTTCGACAGCGCAGCAAGCTAGGCCGAAGGTCATGGGCCAGATGGACCCACGACGGGCCCAGTTCAAGAGGTCATCGACCTTGGAGATCACGTATTCGGCAGTCTTGGAGAGGCCCGCCGGAGGGCCGGAGATTGAGGGGGGAGAAGGGCTAGCGTACGTGGTTGGGGTGGAGGAGGAGGAGAGAGAAGGGAGGGTGGTGTGGAGAGAGAGGGCTCGCTGTGCAGAAAGGAGGCGTGGGAGGCGATTAGCGGTGTTTCGGGTGATTAGAGCCATGGCTCGGTGGTTTCTAGAAAGTGAAGAAAATTTTACCTCTCTTTAGAGAGAAGTTTTGATTCGGTGACGACTCACTGGTTATTGGAGTATTGGAGTGTTGGGTAGCGTGGGCTGTGTTAGAAGAGAGAAAGGGTAATAGCCTTTTTTCAAAAAATTATAAATATATTTTTAAAAAATCATAACACTGAAAATATATTTTTAAAAATATAAAATTAAAATTTTATGAAAAATTATAAAAAAATGAAATTTTATTAAAATTATTTTTAAATAAATGTAATAAAAAATTATTATTAAAAAATTATAAATTTTAAAATTATTAAAAAATTACTTTTATTATTTTAATTTTAAATTAATAACACGTATGATCCTTAAATTATAAGTCAAATATTATATTAATTTTTAAATTTTAAAAAATTGTAATTGAATTTTCAATTATTCAAACATATGTTAATATAATTTTTTCGTCTATTAAATTGTCTAAATTAATAATATATTTTATGTTACATGACATATAAGCTAAATAAATTGTATTATATAAAAAATTTTAAATGCCGAATAAGCAAATAAAAACTTTAATGTCCACTTAAACAAATTAATCATCTAAAAAAAACTTCGTGAGATCTTGATTTCAAGTGTTGAAAATAACAAAAAAGAGCTGAGAGTTAAAAAAAAGGAGCTACGAGTTGCCGTACAGAAAATATAAGCTTGTAAGAAACCCATTTTCTTAAACCCAATTTTAGTATTTGAGATGAGATGATCTAATAACCACAGAGGACAGCCCATTTTCTCAAACTCATTTTCAATCCCTTAAAAAATTCTCGATCTAAATTCAACCATGAAAGAGTCAAAAAATACCATGGTTGAAGTAAGAAAAAAGCATACAGTTTCTCCAATAGGCCAAAACCAAAACTCTTGTTTAAAAACAACTTATTTTCTCAAACCCATTTTCAGTTCCTTTGAAAACCCAATTCCTAAGCTTCCTTCTCGATGTATTTTCTCTCTAAAACAACCTTCTTTTGAGCCCAAAAATCTACCTTTGAATATCAATTTTCATGGATAGATATATAGGGCAAAGAATTGGTCCACATTGATTGAGAAGATGGTTGTTTTTTCATGAATTGACTTAGAAGAAAGCTTGTATCTATAATGAATTTAGCTTACCAAATCAAGAGAAACAATGATTTGGTTTTTGGTTTAGTGAGAAATCGTGTTATGAGACCAAAAGTTTCATCTTTTCTTGGGGTGAGATTAGTATTACATTTAAAGATATCATAATCGTGAAGAGGTTTCTGTGTTCTGGGTTTAAAGACATTAAAGTTTCTTTTACTTTTTTTATTTGCTTAGCTAGCATTTAAAAATTTTTACATAATACAACTTATTCAAATTATGTGTCATGTTACGTAAGATTTACTGTCAATTTAAATGATTCAACAGATAAAATGATCACATTGACACATATTTTGAGAATTGATGACTCAATTAAAACTTTTTAAAATTTAAAGATCAATATAAAATTTGGTTCATAGTTTAGGAATCACGGAGCTATTAACTCTTTAATTTTAAAAAAAATTGATGAGATTCTAATTAAATAATTTATCTCTTGATATTATAAAAGGTGATAAAAAAATTATAAAATCTTATTAACATATAAAAATTGAAACTCTTTAAATTTATATAAGCAGTACTACTGAATACTACATAATTTTATCAAAATGCTACAAAATCACCATTACCATATCCCTGATCTCATACGAATTTAAGGATCAAAAGTGTTGGAAGAATTAAAACTACTTCTAAGTTAAAGATTTTATTGACCAACATTGTATGCTTTTGAATAAAAAGACAATATAAGTAATACCACTAAATATTATATAATTTTATTAAAATCTAATATGTTAATAAGAGAAACTCATCTTAATAAGTAGATGACAAGACTTTTCTAAAAGGTTTAGTTTAATTAAAACTATCATAAAATTTTAACAATTGATAAAAAATAATTATTAAAAAATGATAAATTTTAAATTTATAAAAAAATTATATTTACTATTTTATCTTTAATTTAATTAGGATCTCATAAGGTATAATTCTTTCTCCATAATTTATCTTTAATTTAATTAGGATCTTATAAGATATAATTATAAGATATAATTCTTTTTCTATAATGAAAATAGTGAAAGTAATTTTTTATTAATTTTAAAATTTATAATTTTTTAATAATAATTTTTTTTATTACACTTATTTCCAAATAATTTTAATAAAATTTTATATTTGTAATTTTTCATAAAATTTCAACTCTAACTCTCTCAAAAATGCGTTTCCGAAAAATGTTTGGAAATGCATTTTCGAGATATGCTATGATTTTTCAAAAATAAATTTTCAGAATTTATAAAATTTATAACATGAGTATTTTAATAATTTCACTTACAAAATATTTTGAAAAAATTGAGGTGTATAGAAAAAAAGTGAGTGCATTTAAAATTTCTTCTTTTTTTTTCTTGAAAAACCTTCAAATTTTTTCATTATATTTTTTAGTCAAATTTTAAATTTCATTCATTTATCATATAAAAATGTTGAATTTAACAAATTTATTTTTATTTGAACGAAAATAAAACACACACACACACACACACACAAAAAGCGCCATTTGTGAGGTTTTTACAAACGGCTGATAGCTAAGAAGGTATTTTCAAGAATGTATTTTCTTCTCTATCCTCAATTGTTAGCTCCTGCAACTATTGGTTAAAAACTTTGATTTCTTTTTATATTTTTTGTGCTGACTAGGGATGTGATTTCTTGTATAAGAGCTGCTTCGCACCAGGGGATCAATTCTCTGTTCTTTTTGTTCAAACTTCCTTTTAGTTCCCCAATCTTTAATTTCAACACTTCAACTACTAGTATTGGCATTTAAAATTTAACAACTATACTAGGCAAGTTGCTATAATAATTTTGATCAGGTCAGAAATTTGAATTATGCTTTATTTAAATGATTGATGGGAAATATTCCATTTATTCTATTCTCACAGCATCATCACCCATTCTCATCGACTACCCCAATGACTAAATGAGGGGTTAGACGAGGGCTTCTACTTCATCCCAAAACCACCATAAACAAGCAATTCCGTGGGGGAATTGAAAGAATAGTTAGAAATTAAATAACAATAGTCATAATGAAATTTCACAATTAAAGTTAAAATGGTACAAGATTTAAGCACAAGGGCTCAAACTATATCCATGGAAACTGATGCACCAATATAGCTCCTTTTCCTTGGATTTGGTTGACATCCCTTTAGTCTCACACCCAGCAACATTGCAGCCTAATTAGAGACAGCTTTTGTTTCAGTAGTTGGATTGCTAATCATCATATTTTCTTCCACCTAAACAAAACAGAAAGAGACAGCACTGTGTCTATCCCTACAAAGAATATTAAATTAGTGGGCATGATCTGCCTGGAAGCATAACTCAATGTACTTTGTCGACAAATCAACACCAGCAACATTGAGCTCTAGTATAAGACATGATAGAAAATTTCAATGAATCACCAAGAGTCTGATAAATGGCTGCAGCTTCCACATCACTAATCAGGGAAAAGGCAAAGCAATCTCTCCAAAAGCAAGCAGCAAAAGCTCTTCCCATTAAAATAATCACGAGCTTTGTTAGATCATCTTCATGCATAATACATGTAAAGACTGTTTGATGCATCACAAGCTAGAGAATTTTCAGTTGGATGGCATGCTAGGTGAAGTAACTTTGTTGTGAAATCAAACGAATTCCCGTTAGCATCAACTCCCTAGTTATCTCTTCCTTTCACTGAAAATGGAAAGAAGAGAATAGATACATAGATGTTAAATAAACCTCAAGAATATATATATAAAAGAAAAAATATATAATTGCTTTCCATGACTCAATTAGTGTTCAAAAACTACTTGTAAAAAGGCTAGAATCCTAATTATAATTCCTTTCCATGACTCAATTAATGTTTGAAAACTACTTGCAAAAAGGCTAGAATCCTAATTCACTAATAAGCAAAATCACAAACCAGTGACACTGAATTTATTATGCAAAAATAAGGGGGAAGAAATTAAACTGATGGAATACAAATCAAGACATCTCAAATTTTTGGACTTGGTAAGAAGGATGTGAAACACATACCTCGTCTAACAACACCAGAGAAAGTACCAAGAGATCTTGAAGGCCTTGATGATGTCTGACCTTGTCTCCTGGTAATTAATTACATAAATTAAAAAGGAAATTTCTAACAACTGATGAGACATTATTTCAGCTCACGACTTTCTGAACCAAGAAAGGTCAAACAATTCCCTTTGACCGCTACTCACATCATTGTACCTATGTCACGGGTCGAGACTCAAGCTCCGAACCCGCGCGGCTCCGGGACCCGAGCATTCACCCTTCCGGTGTCCCGGATCAGCCTGATCGCCATGGTTCACACCCTTGTGAGGTATTGTCCGCTCTGGCCCCCGTGGCCTCACGGTTTTGTCCTACAAAAGGCGCCTCACAAGGCGGAGATGATGTGAACCCTTTTATACCCCAGTGACCTTCCTATTATGTTCGATGTGGGATTCAGGACTCCCCCTTAGGTCCGTGACATTCTCTCGCACTCAACCTCGTGACGCCCTCGTCACGGAGGCTGGCCACCCTGCCTACCTCCTTCGAGGTGCTTGGCGTGGATCGAACGGTTTAGAGCTGGCTCTGATACCACTTGTCACGGGTCGAGACTCAAGCTCCGAACCCGCGCGGCTCCGGGACCCGGACATTCACCCTTCCGGCGTCCCAGATCAGCCTTCTGTCTCGGTTCACACCCTTGTGAGGTATTGTCCGCTCTGGCCCCCTGACCTCACGGTTTTGTCCTATAAAAGGCGCCTCACAAGGCAGAGGTGGTGTGAACCCTTTTATACCCCAGTGACCTTCCTATTATGTTCGATATGGGATTCAGGACTCCCCCTTGGGTCCGTGACATTCCCCCGCACCCAACCTCGTGACGCCCTCGTCACGGAGGCCGGCCACCCTGCCTACCTCCCTCGAGACGCTCGGCGTGGATCGAACGGTTTAGGGCTGGCTCTGATACCACTTGTCACGGGTCGAGACTCAAGCTCCGAACCTGCGCGGCTCCGGGACCAGGGCATTCACCCTTCCGGTGTCTCGGATCGGCCTGATCGCCATGGTTCACACCCTTGTGAGGTATTGTCCGCTCTGGCCCCCGTGGCCTCACGGTTTTGTCCTACAAAAGGCGCCTCACAAGGCGGAGATGGTGTGAACCCTTTTATACCCCAGTGACCTTCCTATTATGTTCGATGTGAGATTCAGGACTCTCCCTTAGGTCCGTGACACCTACACTAGCCAAAGTAGCCAACAACATCAGAACATACCTCATGGGGTTTTTGCTGGCTTCCAGTGTTGTTGCTTCTGTACTACCTTCAGAACAACCAAATACCCAAATCAGATTGCTGGAATCACAGAGAACAACTACATTATATAATGTCCAGGCCCTGGTATATTTTGGATGTTTTATTTAAGATGATAAAAACAATCATTAAAATATATAACATGTACTTGTAGGAACCAGTAGCCACTCGAAGTCCATCTCCACTTAGACAACACTCAAATTTGTCAAAGATTGAATCATTTTCATATAGATCACAAAGCTGCTCAAGGTCCAAAACAAAAGATAGAAAAAAAGTTCATCATATGGGGCAAATATAGCGCCTCTTTTTAAATATAATCTAAACCCAACAGAAGAATATTAGAAGAATATGTTACCATAGGTCTAAGACATTCATGAACCTGGAAAGTTGCAAAGGGACCAGAATCCATATTTATGTCCCACAACTGATAGCCAAGAAATCAGAACCTTGTTATTACAGAACAATAGAGGAGAAAGAGGTAAATAAATATAGAAATTCAGCTATTATACTAGCATCATATTCAGTAGGCATGACACAACAGCAAGGTGTTTCTCAAAAAAGACGAATTAATTTCACATAAAAACATATCAACCTTGAGGTTCATGTAGTCACGACTTAGTATATGTCTTCCATCCTTGGCAAACTTAATGTCTGAGATTGATGCTATGATCTCTGTGAAAAAAGACCCGAAGCCAGCAGCTTCTTGTTCCTCAAACCTATACCATTAAAACTTATAAAACCAGAAAGAAAACAACAAAAAGAAAATACAACAGAAGTATCTAAAGCTAATGATGGCTATTCAAACCACCATAATAAATAGACCAAGAAAGAAAAGAAATACCACAAGTCACTTACAATTTGCAGTGAGTATCACACAAAGCAGACTGTCACAAATCAATAAGGCGAATTGAACCCTTTGAACTACTATATGCTAACATATTACACTGTGTAGAGTGAAATTCTGCTGAAGTTATTGTGGAAACTGAATGTATATTGCAAAACTGCTTATTTTTAATTATACAAAAATCTTAGGTTTATATACAACTAACTAGGGGTTAAACTAGGAAACTAAATCTTCCTTAATTCTAGGGATACAAATACTTAATTCTAGAGATACAAATATAAATATACAGATTACAAGATTACAACCAACTGTAAATAAGTGTTTTCCCACACTCCCCCTCAAGCTGGTGAATAGGTGTTTTCCATTCCCAGCTTGGAAATAATTTCTTGAAATGTTGCATTGCTGAGACCTTTAGTCAACACATCTGCAAGTTAACCTTTGGTTGATACATAAGGTGTACAAATCAACCCACTGTCTAGTTTCTCCTTTATGAAATGCCGGTCTACTTCAATGTGTTTTGTTCTGTCATGTTGCACAGGATTGTGTGCAATGCTTATTGCAGACTTGTTATCACAGTAAAGTCTCATTGGTCCATCCCACTTGATCTTCAAGTCTTCTAGGATAATCTTTAATCATAGTAGTTCACAAATTCCTCAAGCCATTGCTCTGAACTCTGCTTCAGCACTTGATCTTGCCACCACATTCTGTTTTTTACTCCTCCAAGTCACAAGATTACCACCTAAGAAAGTGCAGTAGCCTGAGGTGGATCTTCTATCAGTTACTGAACCTGAATAATCAGCATCTGTATATACTTCTAGAACTAACCCCGAATTTCTTTTGAATAAGATACCTCTCCCAGGATTGGCCTTCAAATAGTGCAATATACGGTAGACAGCCTGTAGGTGCATTTCTTTAGGACTATGCATAAATTGACTTACCACACTCACAGCATATGCTATATCAAGTCTAGTATGTGAGAGATAAATGAGTCTTCCAACTAATCTTTGGTACATCTCTCTATTTACAGCAGCATCTTCATTAGCTTCTCCAATTTTATGATTAGGATCTATAGGGGTATTTGCAGGTTTACATGCAAGCTTCTCAGTTTCCTTCAAAAGATCCATCACATATTTTTGTTATGAGATAAAAATACCATGCCGTGAGTGAGCTACTTCAATTCCTAAGAAGTACTTCAATCTCCCTAGCTCTTTTATCTCAAAATTCTCTAGCCAAAACACTGTTTTAGAGATATTCTCTCTCTTTTTCATCATCTCAGTTACAATTTATCATCACTTATATAATAGAACTGTTGAACTCTCCTGAATCAGAGTGCTTGATAAAAATGTGGATCTCCTTGACTCTGTTTATATCCATTGCTAGCATCAACTTTGGCAAATCTCCCGAACCAAGCTCTAGGAGACTGTTTAAGGCCATACAAAGCTTTTTCAAGTCTGCATACTTTGTTTGCTTCTAAATGACGCTCCAAATCCCCGGTGGACACCTTCCATATATATTTCTTCTTCCAAATCACCATGTAAAAAGCATTCTTTACATCAAATTGGTTGAAGCTGTCAATTGTAATTTGCAGCCAATGATAACAAAATCCTAACTGTATTCATCTTGGCAACTGGAGCAAAGGTTTCTTGGTAATCCACTCCATAGGTTTGCGTGTAGCCCTTAGCCACTAACCTGACTTTATACCTTTCAACAGTACCATCTACCTTGTATTTTACAGTGAAAATCCATTTACACCCCACTGGATTTTTTCCTTTAGGCAGCTCTACCAGTTCCCATGTTTGATTTTTCTCTAAGGCCTCCATTTCTATTTTCATGGCTTGCCTCTATTTCTCATTGGATAATGTCTCGGATAATGTAGTTGGAACAGAAATAGTGTTTAGGCTCACAAGAAAATTTTTGTGGGATTGTGAGAATTTTTCAAATGACACAAAATTAGATATTGGGTATAGTGGATGCTTGGTACATTCTCTGGTTCCTTTCCTAATGGCAATAGGCAAATCATAATCACTAGTTATAGTTTTAGGAGATTCATGCTCATTTTGAAAAACAGAGTCAAAAACTATAGTTACTTCATTTCCAGAGTTAGGATCAGGTTCTTGGACTGACACTGGTTCAGGATCTGGAACTTTTCTTCTTGAGTACACTTGTAATTCCTTCATAGAATCAAGAACAATATTATCCTTTGTCACATCTTCTGTACTTGGAATGGGTTCAGAATTAAATTCAATGTTTAACTTAGGCTCAGCAGAAACAGGTTTTGACTCAAAAGAATTAATGGGTGTAAATGTTGAAGAAATGGGCAAATCAAGCAAAAAGAAGTCTTTATCCTTATCTTCCATGAATGAAGTCTCCCCCTGAAGATAAGGTTGAGTACAAAATGATTTATTTTCTTCAAAAGTGACATCTGCAGACACATAAAATTTTTTGGTAGGAGAATGATAGCATTTATATCCTTTTTGAGCTGAAGAATACCCTACAAAAATACACTTAATCGCTCTTGGATCCAACTTTCCCCTGTTATGACTGTGAACATAAACAAATGATGTATAACCAAATATCCTAGGTGTGAGATTGTTTGTGGTACTGAGGTTGAGATAAAATTGTGAGAGTAGTTTCATAGGAGTTTTAAATCCCAAAACTCTTGAACGTAACCTATTTATAATGTGTGTGGCAGTGAGAACAACTTCCCCTCAATAAGATTTAGGTACATTTGCTTGAAAAAGAAAGGCTTGGTTTGTGGCTAGTAAATGGCTGTTTTTTCTCTCTGCCACTTCATTCTACTGTGGAATATTAACAAAAGATGACTCATGGATAATCCCCTCTTTTTGGAAATAGGTGGATAGACTCTGGTTGAAATAGTCTTTCGCATTATCAGACCTAAATCTCTTGATTCTCACTCCAAATTGATTTTGGATCATGTTTTGGAAGCTTAAAAATATACTATTCACATCTGATTTGGATTTAAGTAAAAAATCCAAGAGACCCTCGTACAATCATCTATGAATGAAACAAACCATCTCGCACAAAAAATATTAGGAATTGTAGAGAGACCCCAAATGTTACTATGAATCAAGTAAAAAGGAGTAGAACTTCTTTTGTTACTGATTGGAAAAGACACACGTCTATGTTTTGCAAATTCACAAATATCACAATGAAAATCTTCAACATTTAATCTTTTGAACAAAGAAGGAAACATGTTTCTCAAGGTTCCAAAAGAAGGATGTCCAAGACGAAAATGATAAAGCCAAATTTTGTCTTTATTGAAAGATTTTTCAAAAAGAAATGACAAAGGTAAACTATTTTTGATACTACTTGTGTTATTTGATGTCTCAAGATAGTATAGTCCATCCTTATCCTTAGCAAGTCCAATCATCTTCCCCGAACTTTGGTCCTAAAATTCACAATAAGAAGAATAAAAAGTTACTTTGCAATTCATATCTCTAGTAAGTTTTTGTATAGATATTAGATTAGTAGACAATCCAGGAACATGAAGAACATTTTTTAGAACAAACGAGGGATTAACTTGAACATCTCTTAATCCTGCCACTGTGGTAAGTGAACCATCAGCAACAATAATTTTCTTATTACTAGGACACAGGTTATATGTACTAAACTTTTGTGAGGAATGTGTCATGTGGTCTGTGGCTCCTGAGTCAATGACCCAAGAACTCGTAATAGGCTTAACCGAGACATTTAATCCATGAGAACCGAAAGCTTTACCTAAACTAGAAACTTTACCCAAAGAACATACCATAATAGGCTTTTCATTGATTTTCAATAAGTTTCTCAGCTTTTCAATCTTTTCCCTGTTGAACTCTCTTTGTTTTTGAGACATCTGTAGTATTCCAGTAATTTTTTCAGTTAACATTTTCTCAAATTGGGTGATAGTGATATCTTTCTTTGAAAGGGTTCGGCAATGAAGGCTTAAACAAGATTCGACAATGAAGGCCTAAAAAAGTCAGCAATGAAGGCTGAAAATTTTACTTCCCAAGAAGAGCCTAAAGCTCTGAAACCATGTGAAAACTAAATGTATATTGAAAAACTGCTTATTTTTAATTATACAAGAATCTTAGGTTTATATACAACTAACTAGGGGTTAAACTAGGAAACTAAATCTTTCTTAATTCTAGGGATACAAATACTTATTTATAGAGATACAAATATGAATATATAGATTACAAGATTACAACCAGCTGTAAATAAGTATTTTCCCACAGTTATCACCTCTGCAAGTATGAATTCAAGCAAATAAATCATGCAAACATGAAAAATACACAATGTATTATTTATACAGGGAAACATCATAAACTGATAGGACTGGTGTTTGCCAAACCCAAAGAATGAGACAGGGAGAGAGAAGAAGAAGAAGAAGCAACTCAACTGCCCCTTCTTTATTGCCCTATCACCCTTTATCCCTCCCCCCATCTCCCCCCCCCCCCCCCCCCAAAAAAAAAAAAAGAGGAGGGTGGTGAAAAGAGGAAGAAAAATTTGCAAATAGAGAGCCAAAACACAGAAAGTAAAGCTAAGAGCTAAGGTTACACCAGAATCAACCCATAAGCAACAGAAGATAAAAATAAATGAAAATTCCAAAGAGATCCACAATTGCCATTTACAAAAGGATTCTCACCAGTCAAATCCTCCATGTTTGCAGGCTTCACATCAACAATGTTAAAACTTTGGTGACTAATTTCCAAGTTCCAGAGATTAATTTGCGGGTCATCAGCCGAAATAAAAGTTTCACCATCACTACAACTCAAGAAGAAAAGAACAATAACTATTTGGTAAAATCATGAACAAGCTTAGACAACCGAGCATTTCAGGTTCAAAAGTTTAGCAGCAATTCATATTGCCCTATCTCAATCTATGATCTTCCTAAATCCCCCCCCCCCAAAAAAAAAAAAAAAAAAAACACAGCAAATGAAAAAGATTCTGCCCCAAGACAAAGGAGATGCACCGTATATAAGTATTAAGAGGAAAAATGGTTGAGGGTAAATTCAATCGAATAAGTGTGCGCAACTGTTATTGGATATGGAATTAATATGATAGTTGTGGGCATGAGTATATGTTCTTCGACATCTGGCCATAAGGTTCATCTCATGACTGGTTACCTAATTACAACTGAGGCATCAAGTGTTAGATGAGAAAATCAGATATACACTAATATTGACATATCAAACCTTCGCTAAACCATTGAAACATGATAAAAAATAACATAATAGATCCTGAAGTATCAAAATATATGAAACTTTAATTGCTGTTCTTAGAAAATAAGCATTCTGGATCAACTACAACTACCACAGGCAAATGCAAAGATGGGAATCCCCCAGTTGGGAATGAAAAGTCATTGCTTATGCATCCTCCATTTGCAATGCATCGTTTGGAGCTTGTTGATATACTTGAACCAACAATAGGACCATTTCCCATGGCTTTGGCGGAGTCCACATTCATTTCACATATTTTTTTAACCTTCTTCTCTTGTAGCTGTCCAAGTTTGAAATGATGTTAAAAAGACCAACAGCATAGGAAGGTTAGATTTGTTGTGTTGCTGATTTTGGGATTTTGATGTTCCTTTGAAAACAAATACAGAGAAATTATCACAATACTAATCTGTGTATAACTTCATGATTGTAAAATCCAGAATAAAAAAGATGCCTTTGCCTACCTTCCAGAACTTGATTGTTTTGTCATTTGTAGACAAAAGAAACAGAGCACCATTAGCTGGCTGGCACCACCTAATTTTGTTAATTTTCTCCTCAATTTCCAAGCTTTTGAGATGGTCAAACTCTATTAAACCAAAAAGTTGATCATCTCAATGAAAAGTCGAGTCCAGAAATGTTTCAGCATGTAAGCCCAAACAATCATTATGTTTATGTAAGCCATTTACCAAACAAAAATACCTCAGGTTCAGGGCTCTGAAACTCTGTTTTATAATGAAACTCCGGGTGCCAATTGATTGGATAATCCATCTTCTCTAGATCTCTCCGATGTCCAACATGCTGCAAAATAACATTTTTGTCAAAGAACCATATCTCAAAGTGTCACAGCAGAACACTGGAGCAAGACAGGGAGTGAAACAACATAGCTTCAGAACTATAAGCAAGAAAACAGTCAGCACTCAGCAGACATACATCTCAAGTGTCAGTCCTTTCAAATTAAACCACTCGACCCCCATGATCTCCAGTAGCAAGGTGATCCCACAACCATGTTCTTCATACAAGTAGAATCATCAAGCAAAGTGCCTCATGGAGAATAATATCTCCTTAAAATTTTCAATTTAATCCCTCTTAAAGTTGAGGATGATGAAAGGAAGGCATCATGAAGAGCAAAGTCAATAAACCATAACTCAAAGACCTAGTAAGTCACATGGCCAGACTCTAAGTCGGACCAATTGATTAGTTCACTTGGACCTTTTTCCATTTTCTACAACATCTCCCATGAGAATGAAACCACTGCAATAAACACATACATGAAACTAGTCTATTTCGATATTGACCATGTTAGTCCAGAAATCACAAACTAAAGTAATAACATCAATCACGCAGGCAAACTCAGTATCTTACCAGAAAAGACTTGTTTAGTACCTTTTTTTTATTGTGCACCAGCCTCGAAGACCAAGACCTTAGCAATTAGATCAACTTGCAGAAAACAACAACCAAGCATTTACGAAATAACAGCTTATAGAGTTAATTATTTCAATCATTCAGTCAATAACAACTAAGCTGAAACTCAAGCGATAACTATAGAATATGAACAGATGATAAACTACAATTTACAAGCCATTGCTTCACATCACACTTTGAGGAGCTAGATAGTGATGAACCTAGACCTAGATCCTAACATTATACAGTAATCCAACCGAATATATATCAAATTGAACTCACATATTACCAATTTAAACAATGGAAAAGGAAATAGCAATGAGGAAAAACTATTATATAATAAAATTTGGAGCTACAAGATTAAAATCAATAAAATTCGATAATTCATAAAAGTAAAATACAATCAAACCCTAAGAAAAATCGAAAATCGAACAAGTTCAAATATCGCACCTTCCTGAACTTCCTCTCCGGCCATCCGTTCTCCAAACACCTGTGAGAATTTCCACTCCAGCGGCTGTGGCACTCTCAACGGAGCCACGGCTGCTTCGACAGCGCCGTTGTTCATTGTTTTCCCCCCCAAAAAACAAAGAAATTAAACCGATTCCACCTCAAGAAATAAAAATACAAGCAAACTCAATGCACCAACGAGCCGATTTGGCACTCAGATTAACAACAAAATCGAAATACTTCATGGATTCGAGGCAATCTCCATTTCACAACTGCAAGCTCTCGATCGATCATCTATAAGAAACGGCTCCGCAATGAAAAATTATCGGCGTCTTTTGTCTCTCTGGTTTCTTTGACCCGAAATGAACATCGATTGTATATTTTTAAAGAAAAATGAACTAATCTCTCTTTAGAGAAAATGAACATCGAAGAGATTTCACTCTCTCTTCCCTACTCTCTCTCCGTCAATTGAAGCTTTCACAGTTTGTTTTTTTTTTCTTTAAATTTGGGAGAAGAAGGAAAAAAGAATGGAGATTGGAAGATAATGACGGAGCGGGAAATGCGACTTAGCTTTTTGGCTGATTATTGGATCTCTCTCTTTCTCTTTCCTTCTATTCTCTCTCCTTTTTTTTTGGTTTATTTGGTGATTATTTTTGTAAATTAGGTTGAAAAATAAAGCGTGAAAGAGCAATGGAAACGACATGTAAACTGATTTTAAAGAGATTCCATAATATATGTATTTATGTTGTCTTTGTTTTTATTAAATTATATATATATATAAAATATAAAGTTTATTATGTTATAATTTATATGAATATGTTATTTTTTATTTTTATTAAATTTATTTATAAATATTTATTTTAAATAATATTTTTTATATTTTATTATTTTTAAATTATATTATTATATTATATTTAAAATTATCAAATGTAATTTTAATAATAAAAATTTGAAAGTGAATGGTGATATTTGATGGAAAAAGGAAACGACGTCGACTTTTTATTTCAATATTAATAGCCTACCCTTCTCAACTTTATGGGAGAGGTTGAGGCCATGTCCGGCGTAGATTTCAACGCTCTCTCTTTCCCCTCTCTGTTTCTCCTTTTTAATCAACAATCCAATTTTTCAAAAGAAAAAGAAAAAGGAAGACTCGAAAATCAAAACAACAGCAAGAATAATCTTCTGCTTTTTAAAGTTTTTGGCGTGGGAAAAGAGAAAGCATTAATGGGTGGCTTAAATTTGAGCAGAAGCCAGGGGAAAAAAAAATACTATGCGTTTTTAAAAGGAGAGAAAAAAATGTAAAATGTAAGAAATAAAGAGTATCTTTGTTGTAAGATAAAGTTGATTGTAAGGTTTAAAATCAAGATACGTTATTTAATTTTTTAGATTACGATAAGATATATTATATTTAATAATTTAAAATAAATTATTATAAATTATACATTTAAGATAATTTTAATAAATTATGATTGATAGAACTCAAATTTAATATTTTTTTATCGAAAAAAATAAATCTTAATCAATTAAATCAATTATTTATTGATTTGTTGATTTTTATTAGTATTTGATTTTTGATTTTTTGTTTTCCAAGGTAAATACAACAATAAGTATGAAACGCCAGTTGTGCCAATGTGTTGCAACATATGTCCCAAAATTTTGTTAAAAGAACTTGGAATAAGTAAGAAATTAATATTTCGATAATAAACCCTTTTTTTAATTTTCTTTCAATTTTTTTATGAAATCAACACAAATCTTAATTATTTCTGCGACAACAAAATCTACTTTATTATTAGTTCTTAATTTCATACAAAATTGGATTAGCCTTGGCACTAAAAACATAAGATGGATCAACTAAACTAGCATTTTTTTTTATCAATTTGAATTCAATTTCTCTCTCTTTCACGTAAATTTAATGGTAAGTCTTTTTTATAAAAAAATCATAATTTAAAATAAAAATTATAAATATTAAAATTTGAATTATAAATTTGTTAAATACTTTTTTTTAAAAATGATTGCATAAATTAATTAGACTTAATTTTCAATTCAATAAATATTTTTCTTTAAACATATGGTAACAAATATTGAGTTTATGTATTATCCTTCAAATATCTCATATAGATGGATAATATAAAAGCTTTGAACATACATTCCGAAAAATCCCTATTTTCTCTCCATACTCAAAGTTTATTGCAAAATTGGCACGTAATATTTCGATAAGATAAGTTTTATATAAAATGTTCCAAATACTTCTAAAAAGTTATGAAAATATGCACAAAGCACTTGTTTGTTTCTTGATTAGGGTTTGGTGATGAGGAATGACGATTGTCACTTAATTTAGCTTGAGCAACTTTAAGGTAACTAAAAAAAAATTCTTGCGCACTGCTGTAGGTAAAATTTTTTTGTTTGTCATCTTTATTTATCGTATATTTTTTATAAAATTAATTTACTTAAAAAAATGAAAACAACCAAGAATGATACATGGATACTTTAATTGGTCTCATTTTTTAAATAAATTTATCTAATAAAAAATAAATACTAAAAATTAAAAGATAAAAAAGGTGAAAATTAAAAAAAATTAAAAATAAAAAATGAGAAAAACAAAAGCTAATAGGAGATGTCACATTGACGTCTGATATTGAGTTCAAAATATTAATTTGTTAAATTAAAATAAAAAATAATTATATTAATATAATACATATATACGTGTAAAATTAAATAAATAATAAAATATAAAATTCTATACATATAATAAAATAGCTCTAGACAAGCACCCTAATTATATTTCTAACTTGAACTCGTTTTTTTTTTTTTTTTAAATTCAACTCATCTCAAAATATATTATTTAAAAACAAAATGATCAAATACCCACTCTATCTGTCTCAAAGTAAAATATTATAAATATATATAAATATTTAAAAAATTAAATAAAAAAATGATAAAAAAAAGATTAAAAGGAAGAAAATAACTTAATACATGACATACTTTTGGTATCAGTGAGACAAAAAAGTTTAAAATCTTAAAAAATATTTATTAAATATAATAAATAAAAAACACATTGTATACTCTCAAGTCAAATGGATTCCATAAAAAAATAAATTTAAAATCTTGAAAAAAAAAACAAAAAAAGGTTTTGTGTAAAGTAAGTCCCACTTTAAAAGATAAATTTATAAAATGAAAATATTTATTAAATATAAAAAAAAATTTGACAAAAAGGGAAAAGTAAAAAAAAAGTGACACTTAACTTAAATTTTGGTCATATACTGTTCATCCTTGCATGACCAAATTTAAGTATTAGATTTGATGGATACAATGAGCTACTTTACAATGCAAAACCTTTCTTTTTATTTTCTTAATTGCTTTTAATAAAAAAACAAAAATCAACATTTTCTTCCTATCACATATTTGCACCTCAATATAATAAAGTGACATTTGATTCGGGGAAATTCATAAATTTTTTTTCAAAATCTTATTAGTGGGTATTTGATTCCAACATTTGATTCAGGGTAATTCGATTACGGAAAAAAGTAACAGATTTTTAATAGTACCCAAAATCCTAGAATCAGAAACCCACATATCTTTATGGTATTCTAAAATTTCAAGGGAAAAGTAGTTTTATTTTTAAATTTAACCTGAATAAAAAATTATGAAATAGTCATTATCATTTTGAAAAGCATGTTTGGAAGTGATTGCAATTTAGTTGTAAGTTTCTGCTGCTAAATTTTTTTGTGTGATTGCAATTAATGATGTTTAGCATAAAAAATGCCTTAAATAATCCATCATTTAAGGTGTTTTCTTTGAAAAAATATCTTAAATAATCTTTTTAAATTTTTTGAATACCTTTTTTTTCATGGAAACTAGTTGTTCCTAAAGTGAAAGAAAATGAATTGAAAGATGACTTAATAAAGATGAATTTGTAAGGAAAGCTATATAAAGAATAGGATTTAGATAAAAAAAAAAAAAAAGGCAAAGAATCACAAAAGAATATAAGCCATTAACGAGAGCTTATAGGCAATGGGACCAAGTGACATAATCGTCATGTAAGAAAAATTAGCAAAACATTAAAGCGCTACAAGGAAAGATTGAACCTATAACCTTATAGTTAACAATTATAAGCTATAACCGATTAAGTTACTTCTATTTTTTTATATTTTATCTCTTAAATTTTATAAGTAATGAAAAAAATTATTTAAAGTGTTTTTTATCTAAAAATACCTTAAATAATACCCTTAAAAAATTAAAAAGTATTATTTAAGGCATAAAATGCTAGAGGGAGAGGTCAAACTACAACCTTATGGTTAACAGTCATATGTTCTAATCGATTGAGCTACTTTTTTTTTTATACTTTATCTCTTAAATCTTATAAGTAATGAAATAGATTATTTAAGGTATTTTTAGTTCATAAATGTTTTAAATAATATATTTCAATTTTTAAACCAAAAATACCTTAAATAATTCCTTTCAAAAAATTAAAAAATATTATTTAATGTGTTTCTAGACCAAAAATGCTTTAAATAATGCTTTTCAAAAAATATTGAAGATTATTTGAGGTATTTTTGGATAAAAAATATCTCAAATAATCCCTTTTAAAAAATTAAAAGAGATTATTTAAGGCGTTTTTCAACCAGAAACGTTTTAAATAATCCATAATATTTTTTATTTATAATATTTTATAAATAAAAACAACAATCAAATAAAATATTTGTCTTCTTTTGTTGCTAAAGACATAATTTTTCATTTAGGTATTTTTTATTAATAAAAGCTAATAAAAAATTACCATAATATATGTCAAGAAGATTATGGTAATTATTCATAAATTAATATATACAGATTTTCTCTAACTAAACGAGTGAATCTAAATACATGATGCTCTAAAAATGAAAGAAAACCCTAGATATCACACTTTTTCAAGAATTACACTTTCTCCCAAAATCTTAGATTCCTCGAATCGAACACCCCTTAAGGTTTGA